AAGAGTTTGATCTTCTTGTGAAATGAGAGCAAATGAGAGAAGTGAGGAGAGAGGATGAATATTCAGCTCTCAAAAACGTGGGAAAGAGTGATAATTGAGTGGAAAGGACATTGATGTGACCTAGGTAAGGTGGGGAGGTGTGGCTGGTCATAGAGTGGGTGTGGGAGTGGTTGCTTGTGTCATAAGGTAAAGCAAAGTCAACACTCCACCTCTTTGCACTTTACCCACTTGTTTTTATTATTTAAATAAAGATTTTTATGAAAATATGATTAAATTGTGAATATTTAGGGTTTATTATGTTAAAATATGATTTTGGGTGAAAATCCCGCGTTAAAATAATTAAAAACGGGCCTTAAACGCAAAACTACGCGAAAACCGGGAGAAAATGAGTTCCCAGCGAGACCTCTCGGTCCTAGGCCGAGACTCGGTCCATGCTGAGGATTGTAGCCGGAAACGAACAGAGGGAAACGAAGGGGCGAGGAAGCGAAAGGAGGCAAGGAACGAGAGGGGGCGAGGAAGCGAAAAGGCGCGAACCAGAAGTGAGAGGCGAAGGCGAGGGTTCGATCCGGAGATGAAAGGCGAGAAGTCAGACCCGAAATGAACCGAATGAACAATAGTGAACAGTACCTTCGGGTTCGGTTCCAGGAGCCTTCGGGTTCGGGTGATTCTGCGAGGTTCGGGCCTGCAAGGGTCTTTCGGGTTCGGTTCCTCCTGGGCGAGGTTCGGCCCTGAGAGGACCTTCGGCTCAGGACGGTTCGGGTCCTCCTTGCTCTCGGTCCCTAAGAGGACCTTCGGGTCCTAAGAGACTTCGCCTCTTATAAGAGGGTTTCGGTTCCTAAGGTCCATTTTTCTCGTTTTTACCCCGTTTTAAGCCGTTTTTGACCCGGTTAAGGGTCGGAATGACCCGAATGATTCTAAAAAGTTACGGGAAGCTTTTGAGAGAGATTTGGGAGAGATTTCACATACTTGGAGAGATTTGGGAGAGATTTGACATTCTTGGAGAGATTTCTCATACAAAGAGATATTTGAGAGAGGTTTCACATACTTGGAGAGATTTCACATTCTTGGAGAGATTTCTCATACAGAGAGATATTTGAGAGAGATTTCACATACTTGGAGAGATTTGGGAGAGATTTCACATACTTAGAGAGATTTCTCATACAAAGAGTGTTTTGGGAGAAGTTTCACATACATAGAGAGATTTGGGAGATATTTCACATACTTAGAGAGATTTCTCATACAAAGAGAGTTTTGAGAGAGATTTCACATACTTAGAGAGATTTCAAATAGAGAGAGATAGAGTGAAAACGATTGAGAGGGGTTTCGAGTGTGGCATTTGTGAGTGTCCGGCTTCGCAATGCAAGGTCTGTAAACACTGTTAAGCCTTGTTTAAGGATCTTACACACTCCCGATGAGTATGCAACATTGTTTTATCGGTTTGGCTAGCCACGTACCACAGTTTTTGGTTAAGGAGATCTAGATGTTCACACTTTTGATTTATGATCTCTCATTAGAATAGAGAGTTGTGTAGAAATTTCATAACGTAAATTCTAGTTACCAAGGGCAAATTGAGTCAAACAGTTTGACTTGTTGACTTTAGTTGACTTTGACTTGACCGAAATTTGACAGTTGTCACAATATATACTACTTCCCAATATACAAACTTCATTGTTCGTATGAATAACTGCTTGAAGAATAATCAGGGAGATAAAAAGGAGTTGAAGAAGATTGTGACATGGTACTCAGAGATACGAAGGATGATGCTTTTTTGCTGCACAGATTCTCACAAATTGAGAAGTTCGACATTATTACGAAGGGGGAGATTGTAGAGTCGAAATGTCTTGTAGTATGTCAAAGTCTGTGTATTTCTCTATTTTGTAGGTTTCATTATGTATTTGCTAAGGCATTTTATTATCGAAGCTTAAGTGTTTAGTTTTAGTATTTTTTGTACTTTTAGCCTCCTATAAATAGGAGATGAACATAGAGTTGAGAGTAGAGAGTCTTTACAGAATTACTATCAGTTTTGTACTTGTGTCCTTGAAAGTAATATGAGCTGAAAACATAACTTATTTACTTCGTATGTTCATATTACAATTGTTTTACTTTGATTTGTTGTTTGTACTCGAATAAACACTTCTACACCATCTTTTGTTAAATGAGAAAACATTGAATACCTTTTACTGTGTATTGAAATTTAAATATTCTCATATGCAATCATTATACTGTGGGTACCGTTTTATCCTATTCCTTTATCAAAACTTTTTATCATTCTCAATGTTACAGTTTAGCCATGCATTAGTAAATATAATTCGCTAATTACTCGCGATGTATGTTTTTATTCTCAAGACAACATATTTTGATCTAAACTACCTAAAAAAATATTTGGATCAATTGCATGCATAGGTTATTTAAAGCGATGTATACATTTAAAACAACTATAAAATCTACTAAAGAACGTATCAATGCATGTTCTACTTTTCATTCACCTACTATTTCTTATAATGATTTAATTATTATACGAGGCCCGAATAGTTCCACTGAACCTCCTACTATAACTGTTGAATCATCGAGTAAACATGTATATATTAGTTACCCTTATGCCTAACCACATAGTTATTTTTTAAGACCATAGGTTGTTGTTAGAGTCAACTATGTAGTTCTCTTATATATGACAAAACAAAGTCTTCCCTTTCTTGTTAGATTGTACGTTATGTTTATGTAGCATTATCATTTTGTACTGAAACATCCCCTTCATGAGCTACTTGAAAATAGTTTATAATATCTCATTTCAAATAGTTTAATACAATTGAACCAATTTAATAATGCGTAAATTATGTCACAAAGTCCAAGTAATGAGGGATGTAGTTCACAAAGGAAGGTACCTTTAACAATTTATGCATCTTCCATGGTTTCGGTCGTAGTGATATGAAAACAATGACCTTTTGCTCTTGGAATGTCTTTCTTCATACTTCCATCGCTATTTTATTTCTTCTTCAAAGATCAAGACGAGGCATAATGCCAAATCCGTCACAGTTAAAACACTTCACACCTTGGTACACTTGTTAGCAATGTGCTATTTACTTCCACATCTAAAGAAAACAAGATATTCTCTTGATTTAGTTTGTGACTTGCTACCCCTTCAACATCTAAAGTATTCTCAATTTTTCTTGTTTTCATCATCGCTTGATCAATATTAGTCATTTCATTCATGCTGAATTGATAATTTCACAATAGCCCTTCCACATATTGGCTCACCTTTGTATCATTATTTGGTGATAACCTTCTTGCAAAGCTCACGAGATTATAGGAACTTGGTGTTATATTGGATAATATTCTCTCATTTTCAAGTTGGCAATTTCTTCCGCCATACAAAATCTCTATATTAACATGCATTGAATGTCGTATCTATTTTGATAGTCCAATTATATACTACAATCGGATCGACATTTCAATCATAAATTCAAGGACCAGAATTCACAGTTACTTGTTTATTTTGTTATAATAGTCAAAATTATAGAACATTAGAATATTTGGGTTTTATATTTGGGCTTGTAAAAAAGTTGGAATTGTGGTCGACTGTTTGTAACAAAATATTGGGCTTTTGTGTGGGTGTTTTAGTGAATACTCTAAAAAACACATTTTCATGATTTCTCTTCAAAAACATATTCATCCAAGTTGTCATATAAGTTTGAAGGTCCTCGAGTCCTCTTATATAATAAAACAATAAATAGTCTATTGGTAGCTTTTTTTAAAAGTATGATGTTCAATTATAAATAAAAAGTCTATTTCATAAAAACTTGATAACTAGGCACAAGCCGACCTCGTTTGTCGCCTCAATTTGTCATCAGCATTTCTAAGAAACTGATCCCAACCACTTCCTTCACTTCTATCCAAATAATCATATGGAACCGCCATCTTCAAACTCGGCCTCACTCCACACTGACTCTCCACAATTCTAAATACCATTCCCCCTCTCACCGATTCCGATTCTGATTCCGATTCCAATTCCGACCATGTAAACAACAACGACAATGTAAACACACACCACAGGTTAAAATCCAAAAGCTTAGCCTCCCCATCCATTCTCACATACACATCAAACGTGTAACTTCCTTACTCAAATCTCATACGCACATTCTCAATATAAAATTTCTTGATTCTGATAAGCCTCAGGAACTTCTAGTTTACAGCAGGAAGGGTAGAAAGGTCAATAAATAATAAAGCAACATGGGAGTGTGGTGCAGTGTCTGTTTTCCTTTTTTGCTTTGTCCTTTTGTTTCCATTATTCCTTCTGGTGGTTATGACCTTAGCATTAATTTTCTTGCACTGCTGTAGTCGTGGGGAATTCTTCCAGCTGGGTTGTGGTCCCAGTGGTCCCTATTTTTGAGGATTATTCCCTTAGGAGTGTATTTAAGCTTGTTTGCTGTGTAGGGCTGTTTATCGAGAATTTGTTATTGTTCTTATGAACCTTGGAAAGACTCTCACCTCTATAATTGTGAGAGAACTATCATCAATCATATGAATTGTGGTGGTTATGTGCTTTTGTGAGTTATTCTTATTCATAGCTTATTAATTGGTATCAGAGCGTTGAGATTCAATGGGAGGAGCTTCAAATGAGGCGGCTGCTGTGAAGAAGGTAGAGGAACAAGTGGGGGTGATGCAAATCCAGCTTCATTCTCATGGAATAGATATCCAGAAAATGAAGATGAGAATGGATTCGTTGATCCAAGGGAAAGATGAGCAAAAGTCGGCCATGGAGAAGGTGTTAGAGCGACTTGACATCCTTGTTGGGGCCGGGAAGGGGCATCCTCCCGGTACTATTTCAGGTATGGTTACTCCTGGCATCAATACTTCCATTGGAACAGCGTTGAACAAAAACAAAGGGTTGGCCAGCTCTGTAATCATGGGTTCCGGATCTGGTGGCTCAAGCCAGGAGGGGTCAGGACAAGGTAGCCTTGGTGGACCAGACCTCGTTTTTGGGACGCTCTACCAAAACGGTAATGACAGAGACGGGGGAAGATACGAGTATCGACACCGTAAGATTAACATGTCGGCGTTTGATGTGACTGACCCTGATGGCTGGGTTCTTTAAGCGGAACGTTACTTTGCGATTTATCAGTTATTGGATGAGGAAACGATCAACGCTGCGGTCCTCTACCTCAGCGGAGACACCTTAGCTTGGTACCGGTGGTCAAATCAACGAAAGGTGTTGAACACTTGGGAGGAGCTCAGTGCCTTAGCTTGGTACCGGTGGTCAAATCAACGAAAGGTGTTGAACACTTGGGAGGTGCTCAAGGAGTTGTTCCTGAACAGGTTCCGACTAATTCATGGTGGCGACCTGTACAAGCAATGGGCGGCGCTCAAACCAAAGGTATATTCAATGGCAAACAAATTTGTGAAAATAAATTTCTTAAACGATATATAAAAATGTACTTGTTTATAATTTATACATTTATAATAATATGAAAAATCAATATTGAATTGAAGAAACTTATGAAAAAATTATAATAAAATAAATAATGATGTATACATTTTTAAAGAAATACGTTTATAGATAAAATAGTAAAGCATAATAAATATAAAATATGAATGAAAGATAACAAAGTATTGATAATAAATTTCCATATGCATCTAATATGTTATGATAGTTTAACTGTTTATGGGACTCCAATATAATTTTTTGCAAAAAACTCCTATGTAGTAGTATTGACACCAAGAAAATGAATCAAATAGTATGTGCAATAATTAGTCATATGTTAACAACTACCACCAAATTAAAAACAAGAGAAAAGTTATAGAAGCACATGCACCGGTCATTATCATTTTATTTTTCATTTGTTTCTTTTAGATATAAATAGCATTAATTGTAGCTACTTTATGAGATATCTTTTTCATATGTTTCTATTACATATAAATATCATAATTTGTTTGTAGTTACTTGATAAATAGCATAAGAGAAGTTCACATCTCTTTTTTTTCTTTTTTCTTGTCGTGTACAGCAGCAAAAAGCAAAAGCAAAATACTTGTTGCTTCTTTTGTTACTTATTTGTTCAGAGTTGGAGGGTTGAACGAACAATTAACACCAAAATAAAATAAAAACACATAAGAATCATACACAAGAAGTCGAAGAAGGGGTTGAAACAGCAACTAACACCAAATTAAAAGCAAATAACGATCATACATAAGAAAGCGAAGAACAGAATGAAACCTGATGTTTTGCTGAAAGAGAGAACAGCCAACAGAGCGTGAAGAAGGAAGCAACGATTTTTTTTTCTGTGTTTTGCTGTTGACGTGATTATATAGGGTTCAAGGGCAATTTGGGAATCACCGAGATTTTTTTCTTGTCAATGATTCTTTCTCTCCAAATCTCTCCAATTTGGGAGGAAGATTAGGAGAGGAAAGATACCTCCGATTTTCTTTCCTTTCTTCCCAAATCAGTGCAAAAAATAAACTCGGGAACGCCATTGAATCCTTCTTTCTCTCCAAATCCATCCTTTTCTCTCGATTTCCCTCGTTAATTGCAACTCGGGAACAGGGTGTTAGAGGGGGTGATGGAACGGGTCGCGCTAAGGAATTTCATCGATGAGCTGTAGGACCACATCAAAAGTGAACTGAGAATGTGGACTCCCAGGGACTTGGGCCGGGCGATTGATTTAGCCCAGCAAATAGAGGAAAGAAAGCGGGCATTATTGGCTAGCGGATTTGGAGCTATAGCGAACCGAAATCCTCAATCGAGCAAAAAGGGGATTGGGGGTAATTCTTCAACCACTTATTTCGCTATACCTGAGCGCATCGGCGGAAATATGCGCCAACACCGTTCACTCACAGAAGCTCAAATACAAGATAAAAGAAATCGTGGGGTCTGTTAGAGATGCGGCGAGAGATGGTTCCGAGGACATCAGTGTAAGACCCAAGTGAATGTCATCTTGGTAGAAGACGACGTCGCCCTGCCGGAATTGGGCACTGAGAAAGGGGAAGAACTCGGAAAAACATACCCAACAACCCTTGATTCGGCAGAAGTCAACTTGGAAGTGGAAGTCTCGCTAAACTCAGTAGCCGGGTTAACCTCCCCACGAACAATGAAGATCCGGGGGTTATAATGAACCGGCCGGTGGTCACGTTAATCGACCCTATAGCCACCCAAAATTTCATATCAGAAGGTCTGGTGATTTCATTAGGGCTTCATGTACAAAAGACGGAACCGTATGGCGTACAGATGGGAACCGGGGATAGCGAACCAAGCCAGGGAGTTTGTCGAGGAGTGTTGCTCCAGCTTGACTCAATCGATGTCGTGGAAGAATTTCTTCCCCTACGGCTTGGAAGCTCAGATGTTATACTGGGTATGAAATGGTTGGAAACACTTGGAACTACCCAAACTAATTGGAAAGAACAAACCATGGAACTTGAGGTGGGAGGCCAACAAATCAAGCTCACAGGTGACCGTTCTCTCGGAAGATCATTAATTTCTGTAAGAGCCATGTCAAAAGAGTTGAGCAAAAACTCCTGTGGGTTGTTAATTGAGATGAGCAACATAGTGGTGGAGGAGAAAAATGTGAAGGAGGTTCCTACCTTCCTAGCACATGTGTTAGAAGAATTCAAAGATGTCTTCCAAGAACCCACAGGACTTCCGCATGAACGTGAATTACAACACCAAATCATCCTAAAGGAAGGTGCGTCCCCTGTCAGTGTTAGACCTTATCGATGTCCTAACTTTTAGAAGGATGAGATAGAAAGAATGATCTCCGAGAAGATGGCAGCCAATATTATCCAACCCAGTAACAGTCCCTTCTCCAGTCCGGTGATCCTCGTTAAAAAAAAAGATAATTCATGGCGATTTTGTGTGGATTATCGAGCACTAAATAGAGTCACGGTGCCCGATAAATTTCCTATACCAGTGATCGATAAGCTCTTGAACGAACTACATGGGGCTACCATTTGTAGCAAATTGGACCTGCGATCCGATTATCATCAAATTACAGTGAAAATTGAGGATGTGCACAAAACAGTGTTCCGGACCCATGAAGGATATTACGAGTTCAATGTCATGCCGTTTGGCCTTACCAACACCCCTGCTACCTTTCAATCGTTGATGTATGAAGTCTTCCGACCCTTTTTAAGGAAGTTCATTTTGGTCTTTTTTGATGATATTCTCATATACAGCCCTGATGAAGGATCACAATCCACCTCAAGACAACCTTGGAAAAATTGCGAGAACACAAGCTTTTTGTGAATCAGAAGAAATGCGAATTTGGACAAAGGAAATTGTCATACTTCAGCCATGATATATTTGCAGATGGAGTATCAGCTGAAAAGACGAAGATCCGAGCAATGATAGATTGGCCTACACTTAAGAATATCAAGGAACTTCGCGGGTTTTTGGGACTCACAGGGTATTATCGGAAGTTTGTAAGAGGTTATGCCAACATTGCCTCGGCACTTAGGGAGCAACTCAAGAAAGATAAATTCGGGTGGAACCAAGAAGCTGAGAAGGCCTTTCAAGACTTGAAGAAGGCAACGACGACTGTTTCGGTGCTTGCCATGCCCGATTTCCAAAAGACCTTTGTGTTGGAGACGGATGCATTAGGTTTTGGTTTGGGAGCGGTGTTAATGCAGGAAAACCATCCCATAGCTTACTACAGCTCCACCTTGGGTACAAAGGCAAGGCTCAAATCAATATATGAGAAGGAACGGATGGCAATAGTGATGGCAGTTCTCAAATCGAGACCCTATCTTCTTGGGAGGAAGTTCATAGTTCACACGGATCAGTCTAGTTTGAAGCATATATTGGAACAGAGAATGGTGGGAAGCGATTACCAAAAGTAGGTCTCGAAATTGATGGGGTTCAACTTCGATAGACACGACAAACCAGGTGCGAGTAATCGGGTGGCTGATGCTTTATCTCGAAAGAACCCTGAGATCACTTATGACAACATGAGTGCAGGGCCTTGGGAATTTTGGGACAAACTCAAAGAAGAGCTTATACGAGATGAGTTTATTAACCTTATCAAGAAGGATTTAGAGTTGGATGCAAATTCAGACAAGGGTTTTGTAGTTTTTCGTGATAATCTGCTATACAAGGGGAGGTTGGTGGTTCCTGCAAATTCCCCTTTGATTCTTGACATCATAGCACAATTCCACGATACACCAGTTGGAGGGCACTCGGGAGAAAAGAAGACTTATCAAAGAGCGGTTTCTGAAATTTTCTGGGTGGGAATGAGGAATAACATTGCTGAATATGTCAAATGGTGTGAGGTTTGTCAAAAACACAAGAATCTTACAACCAACCCAGCAAGACTGTTGCAGCCGATCGCCCTTCCTCCTCTAACTTGGGAAGAAATAACCATGGATTTCATAGAAGGTTTTCCCAAATAAGAAGGATGGGATACAATTTGGGTGGTTGTGGACCATTTGAGTAAGTATGCTCATTTTATTCCCCTTCGGCATCCCTTTACAACAACAACGGTGGCCAACTGTTTTATGAAGGAAATAGTGAAGTTGCATGGGCTCCCATCTTCTATTATCAGTGATAGAGATCGGGTTTTTACAAGTCATTTCTGGCAAGAGTTATCCTGTCTTCATGGGGTCCATCTTAAGAATAGTACCTCTTACCACCCCCCAAACTGATGGGCGGTCCGAAGTAGTTAACCGGCGCCTAGAAACTTACTTAAGAGGATTCTCTTCCGAGAAACCAAACAAATGGGCCAAATGTCTTGCTTGGGCTGAATATTGGTACAATACGTCTTTCCATTCAGCCACCAAATGTACCCCTTTTAAGGCATTGTATGGACGGGACCCACTACCCCTCATTCTCTATAAAGGACAACAGACCCCTGTTGATTCCATTGACCGTCTACTGGAAGATAGAGATGTAATTCTAGATGAATTGCGAATGAATCTAATTCGTGCTCAACAGAAGATGGCGGATCAAGCTAACAAAACAAGAAAGGATGTAGAATTAGAAATTGGTGATCTGGTGTATGTAAAACTCAAGCCTTATCGACAGAAGAGCCTGGCTAAGCGGAAGAATGAGAAGTTAGCTATAAGGTTTTACGGACCATATCGTGTGCTTCAACGAGTCGGAAAGGTAGCCTACAGGTTGGAGCTACCAGAAACAGCCAGTATCCATCCAAATTTTCACATTTCTCAATTAATGCTAGCCACAGGTACCCCAACCCCAACTAACATCATACCACCACAACTGAATAGTGATTTGGAGTTAATAGTGCAACCAGAAGAGCTGTGTGGAGTCAGAATGAAGAAAAATGGGGGGAAGGATCAGAAAGAAGTGCTCCTTAAGTGGCAGGGAACATGGGGAAAAGATTAGACAGCAATTTCCCAGTTTTGACCTTGAGGACAAGGTTAAAGTTTGGGAGGATGGTATTGATAAGCCTCAAGAACTTCTAGTTTACAGTAGGAGGGGTAGAAAGGTCGATAAATAATAAAGCAGCATGGGAGTGTGGTGCAATGTTTGTTTTCCTTTTTTGTTTTATCCTTTTGTTTCCGTTATTCCTTCAGGTGGTTATGACCTTAGCATTAGTTTTGTTGCACTGCTATAGTCGTGGGGAATTCCAGCTGGGTTGTGGTCCCAGTGGTCCCTATTTTTGAGGATTATTCCATTATGAGTGTATTTATGCTTGTTTGTTGTGTAGGGTTGTTTATCGAGAATTTGTTATTATTCTTATGAACCTTGTAGAGACTCTCACCTCTATAATTGTGACAGAACTGTCATCAATCATATGAATTCTGGAGTTTATGTGCCTTTGTGAGTTATTCTTATTCATAGCTTATCAGATTCCTGTTTCCAACTCATGTTTCTTTTCGATCAGAATCGAGTAAAACCACGTGACTTCTCGTTGCGAGATTCCGACAAGGATGTGATTCCGGACAAAGCAACGGAATTCCATTTCAGGATGGAGAGATGGGTACCATTTCTGAAGGGCCAGGAAGAAATGATCAGGTCTAGGGGCATTACAGTCATTACACAAATCATGTACGTGGCAGAGATCGTGGAGCAATGAATCAGATGATTTAAGCAAAATGGAAATTTTGATAAACGAGGTGCATTTGAGGGTCCCGGTTGAGTTGATCCAAGCAGAGTCTTTAGGGGAGGTCCAATTGAGTTTAGGGAAGATGGCACAACCGAGTGTTTTGATTGATTCATTGATTTGTGATTCCAATTCCGGGAATAAAGGTGGTAGTGGTAGTTGTTCTGATTCATCATCGGATTCTTGTTCTTGGGATATAATGTAGTCTTGTTAGTCTTCGGAATTGTAGATTCTGTTGGGTAATGCATCGGAATTGGAAATGGAAAGTGGAAGGAGGAAAGGACCGGAATCATCGAGGAGATATTGAATGAAGGATTCCGGGAGCTCATGGATTATTGTTTTGATGGTTGTGTATTTGAATTTTGGATACCATTCTTGGATTTGACATCTGTTCACTTCTTCTTCCTTCATTTTTCCGATTTCTTGATCAATCAACAAAAAAACTGAAAGCATTTTATGGAGTGTTTGGCAAAAACTCATTAAATACGTAAAATGACCAAAAAGGACATGCTTGTATATTTTGGCCTATTTCTTATATCTACATGACTACGTATAATTCTTTATCTTCAATCATTAATAATAATCTTTTTGAAAAAAACATACAATAATAACATCACAACTTTTATTAACTTCAACAATAATTTAGATGAGTTGAGAACCTAACACTAATTGTGTCCAGAGGGGAAAGAAGTATGAGAACTTAACATGTAAGACTCCATTTAAATTATAGCTCCATGACTACTTTAACTAACATTTCTTGAAACGCTATAATAAGCATACAATCACACAAAGATGACTCTTTCACTAACATGATTCTATTCCTATAGTAAAGATGGATAATCCCTTCATTTCAAGATGACACAAATTTTAATTCTGCTTCAAATAGCATACTCTTTAATGCTAAATCAATATAGATCCCTCCCCAAATTTAACAATAACTCTCCTTTCTTCTATTTCAATTTCAATGCGATTTTTTTTTCAAAAATGTTGATTTTTTATATGATTGTGTTAATGGGTAGATGTTGTTTTTGTTTGAGTTGTTGCTAATTATTTCATCTCCAAGGAGTTATTCTGATTTTGACTTCAAGGAGGAAAACACAAATTATTATGAATTAATTTATCAATCCCAACATTCTCCCTAACAATTAAATTCCAATTTCAACAAATTAAGTAACAATTAGAAATAAACTAATCAATCTTCAAGAAACACTAACTCAAATTTGCATTCTCGCATTAACAAACCCTAACAATTAACCATAAACACGTAAAAAAAATAGAAACCCAATTGTTAACAATTTGAAAATACTAGTAAATAATAATGGCTTTGGAAAGAAAACAAAACACCTCAAAATCAGAGGCGGTAGCAGGCGGCGTCGGAGTAGGGGAGTGTAGAGTGACAGCAGCGGTGAGCGGAGTAAGGCGGCAACAACAGCGATGCAGAGTAGGATGGCAAGCTGCTGAGGCGCAAAAGCGGGAGAAGAGAGAGCTTATCAAGTATCGACTACCTAGAATCCGAGTTAACTCCTTCCATACAAGATAGATGGGTCTGTGAGTCTGTTTATGATGCAGTCACGCAACTACAACAAACAATATAAATTCTATCATCTTATTCAGCATCTAAAGAAGAAGCAGCCAACAACTCAACAAGGAATGAGAATGGTGTAAGCAATCATTATTAAATAAAACACATCATTGAAGATAACAAAACATTATAGAAGATAATAATTCTATCTTGTCTTTTCTAATTATGTAAGTGTCGGCAAGAATAATTTGTATTTGTCGTTTGTATTAAAATAGTGTCGGTAGGATGTAAGACCCTCTATAGTCTAGGGGTCTATATTGTAAATTATGTGTGTCGTATTGCAATCAAACGATTGCAACAATAATTGTAACCGACTCCTTCGAACCTATAAATAGGGCCTTTGCCCATATGAAATAAACAAGTTAAGTTTGAGTGTTTAAGACTTGAGTTGATCTCAAAGTTCTTCCTCTGTTGAAATAGTTTGTCTATTTCTTAATAGTAGAGCCCTATCCAAACTATCCACATTAACATTCAATTATTCAACATAATCCATCATCAAGACAATCCAACGCATCATTCAGGTATAATCTTTTCCTAATATTTATTTATCCGTCATGTTGTTAAATTTGATATCAGAACAATTGATCCGTCATCATGTTATGTTAAATTTGGTATCAGAGCTAATTTACGTTCATATTATTATTTTGCATATTAAATCTTTCGTTCATATGAATATATGCATATGCAACATCATAATCATGATAATGAATATTCATCTTTCCGTAATGTTGTTAAATTTATCATCAATAAGAAAATAAACATATGCAACATCGTAAACATAATAATGAAAAATCATTATTTTTAAATACTCATATTTAAAAAAGTCATCACCAACAATTAAAATATTTATCATAAGAAGATTTAATATCATAAATATATCTCAAGATATTTTCAATTGTTATATTACTTTTATTTCTCCATGATAGTATCATTTCGAGTTTTTCTAACTATTAATGCTACAAAATTTGAAATTTTTATTAAAATATTACTCGTTTTTAAAAATAATCAAATTAATCAAATTCATGCTTGAAAGATATATTTATGTCTAACAAAATTTTGATGAATTGTATTCCTAATAGAAATATTATTTTAAGAATACAGCAAATCCAAGAATCTATAAATAATTCTGAGCATAATCTCAAGGATTCTTACGAACCTAATAATCAAGGTACGGTTATAAACAATAATCATATTCATGATGTTAGATATTTTATAAGAACTAGTATTAAAATTCGTTACAAGCAAATACATGATCTAAAAACAAAACTATTTGTGTTTTAAAATAAAACATATAACTTTTAAATATTAATAAACATTCATTTGTACTATTATTTCTATCATTGATATGACCGTCTTTATTTGTTTTCATAAACATTAAAATAATCATCATTATAAGTTATTAAAGTTATAATTATGAGTTTTTCAAACCTAAACACAAATAATCAAGAATAAACTTTTTTTCATAAAACATTAAAACAGTCTAAAAAATTTCTTCTAAATTTAAAAATAGATTCTAACATATCAATAATAAATTGTATATCTAATATTGAAGCAATACATATAATAAATACAGGAAACAAGAACAAATAAAAAACCTTGAAGATAAGATAACAAAATTAATTTGTTAAATAAGTTTCAAAAAATAGAAAAATCGTTAATAATAACTAATTCACTAGAAAAAAGAAACTAAAAATTTTATTTAATATATATGGAAACTTTACAAGAAAAAGTAGAAATACTAACTAAATTATTTGCAGCATTAGAAATTCCATCTGAAACTCAAGAAAATAATATAATAGAAAATAATTCAGATAATGATGACGTAGAAGTAATATATGATTTTTCTTCAGATGATGAAAACCCTTATTCAAATCCATATAGAGATTCACAACACAATTTTGGATTATAACGAAAACAATCATACGTTGAAGATCATTATCAAAGTCAATATATTTTTGAACCACCTTCGTTAGAAGAAAATTTTTTATATAGATAAGGAATGGTCAAAAATAAACAAAACAAATGGGAAAAAATACCCCCACAATATATACCTAAACTATTTACTTTTCCAACAAATTCAATATTCTTTTTATTGATTGTGAGCAAAATCCTAAAGTAAAAATTCAAGAATTGAGTAATAAAATGCGGATTCAAATTCAAGTAACTGAAGAATTAAGAAATCTACATCCAAAATTTTTTCTTAATTATATTATACATAAAACACAGGGCAATGCATATCGTTTCCTTTCATCTCTCGATGAAACAGAGACGATGATGATAGCAACCACTGACGCTATGGAAACATTTAAAAATGTATTAAATCGGCTTATTCAAGAATTCATAGGAAAACAAATTGAAAATAAAACATCTCAAGAAGCTTTTCAATTAGAATCATTATGGCATCTAACTAACTTACGAATTTGTAACATGTGTTATTTAGATCCATTTATATGCGAATATTCTGAACATTATTATATTCTAGATTTTACTAGAAAAAAGATAACATTAGACATGTTTTACCAAAAATTACCATCATTAGTAAGTCAAAGTGTAATAAAAGATTTCCAAGAAGCATTACAACAAAATAAAATTGCAGATACCTTAGGAGCAATGATAAGTATATTAAAAGCATGGATGCAGAAAAAATGTTTAGAACAAAAAACAACACAAGATGCAAGAATTGATTTATGCTGTGATACCTTATCTAATAAAGTTAATCAATATGGTTGTAAAGATAATAAAAAACAAAAATATAAAAAGAAAATTTGGAAAAAACAAACTTATAAACCTAAATATAAAAAATATTATAAACAAGGTGAAAGAAAATATTTTCGAGACAGAAAACAATATAAGAAAAAGTATCAATCTAACACAAATTACTGTCCATCTAATAAAAAAGATTGTAAATGTTGGATATGTCAAGAAGACGGACACAAAGCCTATGAATGTCCAAAAAGACTAAAAAATAAAAAGAAACAAACTTATTAAAAATTGCATATGATCTCGGGTATGAACCTATAGAAGATTCAGGAATAGATTCAGATATAGATATTTATGCATATACAACTGATACTGATTCTGATTCTGATAAATAAGTCCTATGAAGAAAGCATTATTAGGTTTAGAACATGAGGGAAACCTCATATCTAACCTATCCAAAGTATACATTGCTAAAGCATATATTGGTATGAAAATACCATCCAAAGTAAACAATGATAAAGTATACAGTGATATGAAAATATCACCAAAGCATACATTGATATGAAATTAAATTCACAAATCATCATTTAAAATATTAAAAGCAAACAAAATTCAGCAATCATTTAGGTACCCAAAAGGCGCAAATATTCATTCAACAGAAATATTGAAATGGAAGCCATCATGAAGCAAGTCAATTACCAGTTCAGACAAAAAGAGGAGCAAGAAGCATCGTTAATCAGATAGCTTGAAGTAGTTAAACGTGAAAAAGAGCAACTACGACAAACAATACAAATTCTATCATCTTATTCAACATCGAAAGAAGAAGCAGCCAGCAGCTCAACAACAAAGCAACCAAAAGAAGAAATTCAAGAAATATCATCCGATGATAGTCAAATAGCACTCGAAACAGAAAAACAAACCATGACGCCAAACCAGGAGGAGTATCCACCACTACAATAAGATCATAAAAATATAAAGAAATGGTATGTAATTTTCAACAGAGAAAACAAAGGAGTATATGACGATTGGGGAATCACCAGTTCATATATTCTTGGAAAAAATATCATTCACAAAAGTTACAGAACAAAAAATAAAGTAGAAACCGCATACAATGAAGCATACAAAGCAGTAATAAAAGATAATGTCGAATGTTCAAAAACAGTTCTCCTAACACCACAAACACTTATATCCATCTTCACACCACAAAAACCTGTATCCATCCCAAGATCCCTTAACCAATTAAATGCAAAAATTGCCCTTGAATCCATTCTATCAACCAAAGAAAAAGAAGCCATGAAAAAACCATCTGCCAAAAAATTTGTTGAATTATGGGACAGCATCATTTCATACACCGAAGTCCATTCCTTGATGGGCTTTTACCCAGTAGCCAGACGCCCAGGTCCTAAAGTAGTTTTCTTAGCCGACTTATCAGATCCTATGACTTTATCGGATTAATTTATTCATGGATTCATCGACACCATCTAAATAGAAGGCACCAATTTACACTACATCAGCGAGTTCCCTTCTGTTGTGCAAACTATCATCAGAAATTATAAAATACGATTTGCAAAACATGAAAGAGGATTATTCATTAAAATGCATTCTAGCTATCCAATTTTTGATGAAGACTCTCAACTAATTGTCCCAAGTATTACTTTCGCAAACATGAGAATAAGCAACGGCTCAAAACCAATAAAAGATGATCTACCACAAGAACCACCAATACAGGATCATCTAATTTTTGCACTCGCCGGTGTCTATTTAGCATCATCACGCATAGGCAACGGTAAAGATCAAAATTCAAGAATCAGAGTGAATTACGCCAGTAAAACTTTCATTATCTATTCGTTAACAGATAGTGAAATCACTCCAGAAGCAATGAAAGCAATTGAAACCTTCGAACAACCTTTCGAAAAGTTTTCTCATCAATTAGCTGAATTACCTGCTGATATCAAAAAACAAATTTGTAAACATATTATGCATCCACCAAGACACAACTGCAGTTACTGTTCAGAAAACACAGAAGAAACACCATTCATGGAAGATTAACGATAAAAGAAAACACTATTCAAAAATATGTCTTTTTGGAGGTGGGAGGAATGAGAATGACGTAAGCAATCATTATTAAAGAAAACACATCATTGAAGATAACAAAACATTATAGAAGATAATAATTCTATCTTGTCTTTTGTAATTATGTAAGTGTAGGCAAGAATAATTTGTATTTGCGTTTGTATTAAAATAGTTTCGGTAGGATG